TCTCATTAAATCCTCATTTCACTATTTTGATCCGGTCCTCTATCCGGTCATAAAATAATCCCCTGGGTCCGGTCCTTTGGCCTGGTCCTCGTATCCTCCCTTTGGTTCGGAACTCTGGTCCTGTTCTACATTTCCACCTACGGTTGTTTGTCTACACATGTGTTTTGCGACTTTGAATGCAGCAAAGTAATCGGGCCCTGCCGAGCTAGTGGCAACGGTCTTTTGACGCTGAGATTTCCAGGCGACTAAAACGTTCTTGACGCGGAGACTGTGGGCAGTAGTAGAGCGGCGTGCATCAGGACAGAAACTGTAGTCAGCGTCAGAGATTGCGTGGATTATTGGGGCCTGGTGCATGTTTGTAGAAGATGCATCATTGAGGGGTTACCTTAAGATATTGGAGCACGCGCTTGGCAGAAGTCCAGTGTTCCAGCGATGTATTTCTCATATATAGGGCCAGTCTGTTAATCTGAATACGTGAAATCGACACGTGTCAAGACAGAGATATTGAAGGGTACCGAATAGCTCCTTGTGAGTACTTGTATTGGTGTTAAGTATGTCCATGGTGGCCTAAGTATGTCATTCGCTGAGGTGGTATGTAGTCAGAGCTTCGAGAACATATATATCTTGGACAAGACTTATACAATCCTGTGAGCAGCCATTGAGGTCTACCCATGTCTTTACAGCTGAACTCTTTGTTGATCAGGAATTTAAAGAGTTCAAAGTCGACCTTGGTGCAACCACATATGAGAAGGTCGTCAACATAGAGCAACACGACGTAATAACAGTCATCCCCATTAACCAAGAACATGCAGGGGCCGGATTCGGATTGGGAAAATACCATGGCAAATAGCTTAAATCTGATCAGTGCATGCCAGAGTCGACCCGATTGCTTGAGTCTGTAGAGGATTTTACTGAGACTGAGAATGAGGTCAGTCTAGTAGACCAATGGAGGCGGAACCTGGGGTGGGTTTCTGTACTTATTTGAGTCGAGGTCGGAATAGAGTTACGCACTGCCGACGTTCATTTGCTCGATATGTTAGTCGTGGGACGCAGCAATGGCCAGGACTGATCGCAACGGTTCGTGTGAACAGGTCAGGGCACACGTTGTGGTGTGGTTGACCCCTTGCGGCTGACTAAACCCTCGTGCACATAGTCTGGCCTTATATTTATCAACCAAGCCATCAAAAATATTTATCTGAAATACCCATATACTACATATGATGAAAGTACCATCGGGTATGTCCAGGTGTAGAAAATCGTAGGTACCACTGTTCTTAAGGCTGTTGATTTTGCGTTGAATAGCAGCTCGCCATAAGTCAGCATTTGCACCGGACAAAACCAGGCGGATAGTATTGAGTGTCAGTGGGTGATCTTGGATACTTATACACGCGCTGTACAGGTTGCAGACAATGTCCTTAAAGAGTTATTGTGAGCTGGGTGGTGGAATAGCGAGCAGAGGTTCGGGGGCTATTTTGATCATGATGATAAGACGATCTTGGTAGCTCAGGATAAGAGAAGTGGTCTGGGACCTGTCGGATTACTGCAGCGACCTCACTACGTGCATTTCGTACCATAGCGCGCCGGAGTCTTGTGTCTGCTTTGTTTTTGGCGGTGAGAGCGACGAACATAACGAAGGTCTTGTGTATGTTTGGCTCTGAGTGCCTGTTCATGTGGGATGTAATGGAAAGCTGGTCGGAAAGCTAATAGTGTCGTGTCCTGTGTTTTCTAAGTCGAGAGCCCAAATGACGTGGCGTGAATACTCTGAGTTAGAGACGGAGGGGAATGGAGTTGGCGTAGTTGGGTGGTGGTGGTGTACTCAAGGGATTGCTGTTGTTGAAGTAAGCCACGTAAAGCAAGTGCAGTGGGGTGTTTGTCGATATGGGACAATACAAGAGAGGCTTATCGGGGACGGTCCATGCTGATAGGCATGTCAAGAGACAGAATTGTAGCATCGAAGTCGGAAGTAGAAGATGCCAAGAGAATTGTTGTAGGCATAAGAGGCACTGATTGGGTGGAAATAGGTGTCAGTGTGGTTGTACCCTTGAGTCTCAAGGGAATCCGCTGAAGGAAGTGTGAGTAGAACGGGCACCTGAGAGTTGGGGTATCGTCGGGATTGGTGTGGTGATTTTCTGATAGTTGGTATATCATTGTGAACAGTTTCGAATTGTGGGACTGAAGTGCCCCTTATCAGCTTTTAGGTTGAGAAGACGTTAGCTGAATTAGACATCACGAGAGTGACAAATTCGTCCAGTCTTGGGACCGAGGATGCGACATTCATCGTCGTATTTTGAATGGCGATCATGCCCTAAATACACACTCTGAAGGCTACCTGACGACCATATACATACATAGAGCGGAAACGTGCTGCAGGATTAACCCCCCAGAAGACCTCACAAGATGATTTATTATCGGGATTACGTTTCTTGTACTAGATAGCCTTGGTGAGGGTAGCTAATTGTAGTGCTTCAGAGGGCATGCCACTATTCCTGTCAACATATTTGATGATCGATATACAGTCGTTCGTACCAGACTGGTGGGCGAATATGTGGATCCGTCTCCCTTGTCAGAAATTAGGCGACTGCGCACTTTGTCAAGCGCACACGTAGTACAGAAATAAACAGCTTGTGGATGGGCAAGGACATCGTCTTGGGCAAAGAAAATGTCCACGGTAGACGGCACAGAGTATTGTTCGCTACCAAGGCAAGCAATGTAAAAAATATTCCTACCGTGGTGCATAAAATGACTCAGATCCATTGCGGACGAAGGTTTCAGGCGTAGTCTGAATGGTTTCTACATGAGAATGTTACTGTTTCAGTTTTTGCTGGAAGTACTTATTGTTAAGTGTTAGTAGAAAAACTACCGATACGAGTTCATTTTCTTGCTCTAACTTCCCGAATGTATCGCTACAATGTTTGTCGGTGACGAGAATATTTACATGAAGGCGTAGCCGGCGATTAGACCATGATTGTGCAAAGGCATCTTTGATTAAGGCATCTCTTCGAGGCTGCAGCAGTCAGTTACTATAACAGTATCGGCAAAGGAAAAAGGTCAACATCAACTGGCCCAAAGACATTGACGACATGAGCTCTGAAGAGTGCAAGATTAAACTGCCAATTTTCTGTGCTGGAGCCGAGTGATAAGTATGTATCCATGTTATTTCGTTTAAATCTAAGAGGATCAGTAGTGGATATATCAAGTCAGGAGGTCAAAGCCAAGAACATTCGTCACCCTAAATGTTGACTTAGCCATGCAAGGATGGCTATGTTCCAAATTGACGGATGTTCTAGACCGACAGCCTCTGGTATGCGATGTTGTGGGTTGGGTTGTGGGGGTTAATGGAGACTAGAGTTATTCGCGTTGTAGTAGTTTGACCGAGAGTATGTTTTGGCCATCTTATGGCACGATCGACAGTTTGCCTAGGCCAGGTAAATAGCCGCGTTCGGTGAGTACGACTTCGTTCTGTGTTGTGAATCAAAGCGCCTAAGGCCACGAGCGAGTATGAGATATACCCACTTTGACAGCCCCCTTAACGCAAAAAAAAAAATTGTTCGTCTCAAGTGCTTCCTACAGCTGATAACAAATCACCCCGGATCAGCCACCCATGCAACTCAAGCTAGATTCAAATCATGCTACTCCTGTCACACTCATGGCTTTGCCGCGATGGAATCTGAGAAACAATCCAAAGATGCCTGGAATGATGTGTGTCCTGACCTCATCAAACCATGCAATAAAGTGGTCTTTCCGCGCATGTGGATGCTGTTGCGCCACGCTGAAATGCCAGAGAACTGGATAAGTTGACTCCGTGCATTGTTTGAGAATGTTCCCACACGGGTGACGTATCGTGGGGAGCATTTAACCCCTTTCCATAGAACGAATGGCATACTCCAAGGTTCGATTGTCGATCCACAGCTGTTTATCATCTATATGGACTCCCTGGCCACTACGCTTGCGCAATTTCGACCGAAACTTCTCAGTTCTTACCCCTCGTGCGGTACCACCTCTTCGTATCAAAGGACACCTCATCACGCCAACGTTAGTAGGCTTCCCAAATGCGAACACTCTCAACAGATGCCTACTTAATTCTCCCATGACTATGATGGCGGAACTCTCTGGTGTGTATCTACAACCATCTAAATACCTAGGATTTCAACTGTCCCAGGATATACCGGATATTGGCTTTGTTGAGCACATGGACCACCTCGTGGCAGCATTCCAATTTGCGGAGTACTTTGGTGGCTGCCTGGGACTTAATCTTGACTCGATCAACAGTACAAACCCACTTGCTTCATTTCCAAAACCCGCTTGGACACGTAACAGACTTCCAGACAAATACCCGTTCAGTATTTATGCTTATCTAGAATTGAGGGGCGGGTGTACACTTCAACTCAAATAACTTCGTACGCTCTTCGAACAGATTCGACATAATACCACACGATATCTCACTACTAAAGAGATAGTAGGCAAGGCTCTCCGCCAATACAACTATCGATCGACTTATAAGGGGAGAGATTTCCCATCACGGACGAAACAAGTCCTCTCATGACAGTTTTTACCGCGAATGCACTTCAATCCGCTTTGTACCATGACAGCAACCAGCACGTTCCTGTTCATATTGCTTGACTATCGTATTGGTGGATGTCTCTTATGTCTCCAGTGTGCCCCTTTTACTTCCAGCCATTTTGCTTGTATCAGAAACTTAATAAGGCGTATTCTGGTAGGCCCTAATCTACCGCCAATTGGACCGAACTTTCTACAACAGCTACAGAATCGGCAAGACTACTACACTACGACATATTAACTCTCCACGAACATCTCGGGAGCGTTTTTCTCCATGAACAGTGGGCACCAATTTATCCCCATCCAGTACTTGCACTCTGCTGAGGTATTATTTTCTGATTTCGGTACCGACCAAATCGTCGAGACTTCTAGTACCGCCTATGATACTTCCCGCTATGGCTCAAAACCCTGATCGGTACAAACTAATTTTACAGATTCTGATATTATAGAATAACACTAATAACCCTGTCTGGGTGAACACTAACAACCCCGTCTGGGTGTATTCCGACCACATCCTTATAGTTTGGGTATTCACTAGTAGTGAGACATGATTGGACAGGTGAGATTATGTAACGTGCAGCAAGTGTTTTGGGTTGGGTGCCGATTGGAAACAATTTTACGAGCACATCGAGTGCGGCATTGAGCTGTTCGTTTATAGCATCCAGTTCGGCCTGAAGCGACACTGTGATGCGGCCCTGGTTATACTCAGGATAAGACATTTGTAGTTTTTCGCGGAGTGAAGTCAAGCGGACATTGGTGACGTTGAGTTCACGATCAACGGCCTGTTTGGCATCCTTGGGTTGATTGAGTTTGAACTCAAGACCAATGACACGCTGTTTGTACAGGAGACATTCTTTGTCTGTCTCGTCGACGTGTGCATTTGCGAGAGCGATGTGCAATTGAGAGACGACAAGGTGCGCTAGAGACGGTTTGAGTAAGAAGCTCGCGTACATTGAAATTAAATCACGAACAAGTGCTGAGATCAACTGAAGGTGACGATTGGTAACGAGGGGATTGCTGTCAGTGAGTTTGGCTGAACTGAAGGGCTGCTTCGAATGCTGAAAAAGGTGGGTAGATGAATGACTTCTATGAGGCATTGTGTTGCGGTTGTAATGTGACTGAATATATTGTACGCTGTAAAATATAATATCGGATATGCTGCGATGAAAGACTGCTGAGCAGAAAAGCTGGTAATGTGCTGAGTCGGTATTGTAACTGACTTATGCGAAGGTGCCAAATTGGTCATTTAAAGCATTAATGATACAGACCTAATCCACGAGAGCATCTCATAGGATCCAAGCCAAGTAGCTAAGTTTTTACGCTTAGACAACATCACGGTGATATACGATGATATAGTAACTAAATATTGAAAGCGAGATGGAATATTTTGATGCTACTTTACACTGGCGAGCCTAAAAGATGAATATATAACTATTAAATGGCGCAAATAGATGTAAGAACCATTTTGTTAATATTGTTTACCAGGAAAATTCAACATACAGTCCCGACCTTATAACAAGTTGACACTAAAGAAAGAATACGCCGAAACGGGCAGTTATTCTTGTAAAACTGAGGTCACAATTAAGTGCATTTTAGATAATTTTTTCAATGGGCGAAGCTCGCCTTCTCTTAACGGTCAAACCTTACAGTTTTATATGTCAGATCTGACATACTACTATATGTGCTAATGTATTTACACTGGCGAGCCTAAAAGATGGATATATAACTATTAAATGGCGCAAATAGATGTAAGAACCATTTTGTTAATATTGTTTACCAGGAAAATTCAACATACAGTCCCGACCTTTATAACAAGTTGACACTAAAGAAAGAATACGCCGAAACGGGCAGTTATTCTTGTAAAACTGAGGTCACAATTAAGTGCATTTTAGAGATTTTTTTCAATGGGCGAAGCTCGCCTTCTCTTAACGGTCAAACCTTACAGTTTTATATGTCAGATCTGACATACTACTATATGTGCTAATGTATGGGTATAGCTTTCATTGGCAAATAAAGAATCACGATTACTCCAGTATAAAGTGGAGTGAGTAAGCTCCCCGCACTACACCTCAAATATGACACAGACGATGGCGTTATTTGCACTATCTATTTTAGTAGCCTTCTGGGTTTATCAATTAATTTTACTACATATAAAAAATGCTGAATATAATTTCATAGTAGTTGTTTATTCATAACCGATACCACGTAGGCAAGCCATTGACAGACTTTTGCCCTATGCAAACTTTAGTCGTAACTAGCGGTATGAATGTCCTCACATATGTAATTCCAGCACAGGACAAGTACAATATCCACATTTTATATCTCTGTGCGCGTGGTCTTTCAACAAGGTAGGTCAGTGGCTTGATGCGAGTAATATTTAGTGTCGTGTACCCGATATGTGGTATGTTGGCAAAAAAAACTTGGCACATGCTCGATACGTTCACAAACGCGAGCACATACAAAACTTGTATATCCCGTCATGAGTTCATGCTTGCGTTGTTATTGTTAAGAATGGGACAGCGCGCGTTCACGCGGATGAGCGACAGTTCTTTTGTATACGTGGAATGTGTCCCACCAACCATTTCGCTACTTGTTTTGCTGGTAACCCAAAATTCGAAATATTTCACAGCTATCCTGGTCCAGTAAACAATGAAAGCTAAGCGATAATATGGCCAGAATAGTACAGACCTAAATTATAATCTGTTATGTTCATAACATGATATGCCGTGTACTGTCTATTATACCACTCAAACCATAAGGTATACAATATCTTCCTGTCATCTAACACGATGATTCGCGGAAGTTAGGTAGAAACCCCCTTCGCTGTTGGATAAACTATTCCAACTGTTACCTAATTTTGAAAATGCATGGATAGCTCGCAAAATCACCATCAGCAAATAGTTTATACATTCAACTTGTAACATGTCAGGAAAATTTAAACGATACCTGCTTCAAGCTGTGTATTTTACTCATTATATCAACACAAGCCTAAAGTGTATCTTAGTATGGAGGTACAATATAGCGCCAGTGTGTTCGAGCGAAGTTGCAGATTTTCTCAGAGCTGAACTGTGGTAAAGACTTAATTCCAATACACGCAACACTATAGTCCATGTATGTAATTGATACACAAATGAAAACTACGAGAAATTAATAGACACCTGCCCGAATTATTTTATCCCACTCGGAAGTGTTCAATCGTTAGTGTGAACGTTGTGAAATATACAATACTTGGAGTTCTTCGATTTTCAGACCGCGAAGAAAAAAATGTTGCAATGAAGGGCATGCGCGTTTTGGCAACTTCAAAATACCCAATATGTACTGAGATATGCACTGATCAGACTTCTAACTAATGCTATTGTTTTTAATATTCAGGTTAAATATGTATTACGGACGTTTGTAACAGCTTTTGAAGTACCTTATAGACTCAGGAAAGATGTCACCATGGCAATTGTATTATCGGTCTCGTTTTTGACCAAAATAGGCTGAGCATAAGTAAAAGTGGTCAAAGTTATAATTAGGTTATGATACATTAGTCTAGGCCATTGTTGCTTTTGTTTCCCTCTATACGTGTCGATATTCGGTTCCAATCCATGATACGAAATAGGTTTGCTCGACTTTTGTTTATCTCAGTAGTATTTTAGTATCTTATCCTTTATAGGGCAAAAAAGCTATTTTTGGCCAAGTCAGTTTCAGTACACACAACTTGGGTGCAGCTTTCATAATTTCTTCGATTTCTATTTAGTGCGCGCCTTTCTATGTAGACTGTATCCTTCTACAAAAGATAACTCACACATTTGCTGTTCCACAGTGAATAAGTCTTTAACTCAAAATACAGCCATACCGAGTTCTTCTTCGAATTTTGTTGTCCATATTAGCGCGTGCGTTCTGCGATGTAAGCCAGTCGATACTACCTTTTAGTCTGCGTAGATATGATATGCATTCGGACAGACGTGACAGTGCGAATGTGGCATGGCTCGAGATTGTTGTTAGATATGGAACCAACTCTTGGACAGTATACACAGTTTATAAAACCAGTGGCGAAGAAGCCAAAAATTTCTCCTTCAAGGGCAAAGTTCTTTTTAATAATTGTGCTGCTTTTCAGCAACTGCATAAGTTAAACGCTCGCCGTGTGGCCAAATGCAGGCATCACACAAAATGAATCTTCACTATGAACGGGCAAAAATCATGTCACATGTCAGCTCTTGTCTTTGGATATACTAATACTTGGTAGTGTACATTTGGTAAAATGGCGCCTAGATTGATATTCGATTTCTATTTATTGAGGACGTAAAGGTGATATAATCTTCTTCGCGATAGCAATGA